GGTCTGTAAAAGCTGCTCACCAAGAGAAGCAGCAACACCTTGTCCATCTCTGGAAGAGTTTGGCTGGCTGCTGGGATGGACCCCGAAGCCCGCACTTGGCTTTCAGTGTTGTGAACATGCGGTGCCTGAGCAGACCTGCGGTCTTGGCCAGGGTAGATGTTGCAGGTTAATTTTTGCCTGTTCGGGGTCTCCGTGCTGCATGAGATACAGAACAAAATTGCGCAAAGCATACTGGAATGAAGCTACAGGTTTTGTTCTCATTAGTGTAAAATCATAAAATCTGGTGTTTCTGATGTCTCTAAGGAGAGAAGGAGAATTAACTCTTGGAGAATGTAACTGGAGGATACTTAAAAGGCAAATTGTTCACATACTTTCTTTAAAATTTGCATGAGTGTAGTAAAAGGTCATCGTAACTGCAGTCTTCTCCTCAGATCCTTGCCTGCCGGTGGCTGATTGCAAGAGCCTGTTGCTAAGTGTTCCTGGAAACGGAATAAAGATGAAGCAAGATAATTGAACAAGAAGGAGGGAGAGGGGGAAAAAAGCTTGGAGCTCGCAGCCGAACCGCAGAGCTGCCAAACGAGATGAGTATGTTGGAGTTTGACTCGGTGGCTGCGTTTAATCAGTCCTGACCCAGGGGTGGGGAAAGGGTGACCGAGCCTGAAGCTTCATGGCAGATCCTTGGAAAATGCCGCGTGGACACAAGCGGATGATTTGCTTGCGTTTCCCGTGGCTCATCCAACTCCAAACACGTTGCTTCCTAGCATTGAGGCTGGAGTGGGGACGGGAAGGCAGACTGTGCTCCCACGGCTCTTTTTGCTCTTTTCCTGGATAAAATCTCTGTTCCTGCAGCATACATTTTGTTAGCATGGGATCTTCTTCTGGAAGGTCAGTAGTCACGGAAAGCAACAGGATAAAACAAGAACATAAACAAACAAATCCGGAGCTTGACTAACACAGAAAGCCTTCAACTCCAGGTGACTCCTGAGGGTTATTTTCTGCCCATCTCAGGTCAGGCTCCCCTCTGAGGAAACAACTGATGGTTGCTTGGTGTATTGCAGAATCAAATGAACCCCTGGTGCATCTCCTTTTTATTGCCAAAAAGACAAGGAAGCAAAACTACCTCCTTAACTTTGGTCCTTCTCTAGTCGAAGCTCTTGTATAAACGCCAGACTTTCTCCACCTTTGTGGATCGATTTCCTGGAAACAGTTTTAATAACTGTTTCTGGAGTGATTTTTATCATCCCTGAGCATTTTATAAACTCTGAATATAGTAACAGCTGAAATTCAGCCGCATCTGAGGAGGGTTGCTGCCAGCGTACAGCAGTCTTCAGCGTTCTATAAAAAAACACACGATTGGCTCTTCCTTTTGCACAGAACCTCCCTTATTCCCACCGTCCAGCCCTCTGCGTCACCTCCTGGCTCGCCGTTGGCTCAAAGCCTCAGCAGCAGAGCGGGCGCCGGGCATCCTCGCCTCGCCGAAGCCTGCGATCTCTGAGCCTCCCCCTCCAGCTGGAGGGAGTTAATATGCTGCATCTTATCTGACATTTTGAACTCCCCCGTGGGATTCGCGTTGTCATCGGTTCCTGGCAGCAGCTTCTCATTTCACTGTGGCTGCCTTCGTGCCATGCTCGGGGTGGAGGGAGGGACACCGTGCCCGAGGCTCGCTCGCACCAGGGGTCGGTTCTGTCTTCCCGGTCCCGTATGTCATCCGTATGCTGACTCATGGGCTCTTGCCTCTCTGTAAAACTATATATTCTGTGACTTCCGTCAGTCAAGTCAGGATGTAGCTGGAGCTTTTAACCTTCCTAGTGATTTATCACCGTCCCTGTTCATCTTTTTAATTGGTTTGGCAGTTGCAAGACACACTGCTCAAGCCTTAAAATAAAGAAGAGGAAGCCCCAGCCTGCTGTCTCGTTCCTCCGCGGTCGATGGCTCTGGAGCTGGGGGCCTCTTGCGTCTCGGTGCTGGGTTTCGTGGGATGGATCAGGTTCCTTTGCTTGTCCTGCACCTGGCCCACCATGTGTGTGTGTCGTAAACCCCCCATCCCCTCGGCCCCGTCTGCCTGGCCCCCTCCGGGCTCACTCAGCACTGGTTATCCCCTCCCTCCCTCCTCTGCCTCCGTGCCCACCCCAAACCACGTCCCCCTGCCCTCCCACCTTCCCTGTCCCTCTGCCTTCTCCTCGTGGGTAATGCCACCAGCTTTGCTGGAGCACAGCTTGATGGGAAAGCCCCTCTGCAAAGGAGCCGTTGGGTGGGAAAATGGCTTCTCCAACCTCCTGCCTGCTGCCTTTTCCTGCTGTTGTGGTGTCAGCGCATCCGAGCTGTGGCCAACTTTGTTCTGCTACGGTTTTTAATATGTACAGGTGATTAATTGCAAATGTGTGGCTTGCAGTGGCATTCTCCTGCGTAGACATCGGTGGCTGTGTGCTGGGCAGGTTTATGTTCCCAGCCTGCAGCCTTTCTGCCCAGGGGCTGAGTGTCAGTCTGAGGAGCTGGAGGAAGAGAAGAAGTGCTCAGCAGGAGAGTGTTTTCTGGGCAGCCTGACCCGTTACATCCGTCCTGCCTGCATCACAAGTCGGTCTGATGGTCTTCCCCGCAGGGCACCTGGCTCCAGCTCTGGGGCTCAGCTGTGCTTGTGAAGTGTGTGTTAAGAGGACATGGAGGCCCTGAGAGCACGTCATGATTGGTGGTTTAGCCCAGAACAGTTTTGGATGGTGGGATGTTTGCACAGGGTGGACTTCTTCATGGCTCCAGAGAAGAAGTGCCCTGTGAGTGCCTGGCTGCGCTGGGTCGGTGCGGGCTGTGGGACCCTCTTCCACCCCAAGAGCCGGGCAGGAGCAGGATAACTCCGAGCTGTTGCTGGTGGGGATTGCTTTTCCCAGCCAGAGCTTGAGAGCACCTGGGTCTGGTTAACTCCCCGCATATTTTGACCTGAGTGCAGTTACGGAGTGAATCCCTCGAGCTGTGCCGACCCTCCGAGCTGCGAGTGGAGCCCATTGCCTGTCTTACATGCAAAGCCCAGAGCTGCCCCAGCAGCGTGGGCTGTGAGCAGGAGCCAGGGCTGTGGTTATTGCCTTTCTAGCTCTGCAGCTGTGTAACCTTTGCATGAAAATTCTCCTTGGGTTGCAAACCAGGAGTGCTGCCAGACTGCGATTCAACGCCGTCGGCTCTGAGACGCCGAGATGGATGCGGCTGTAGGGAGCGCCAGACCAACCACTGCACCCTCTCCTGAGATCAGCTGGAGGAAAGTTGCTTTGAAATAGTCTGAGTGTTCGCAGTGATGCAAGCGCTGTGTTGAGGGGAGGTTTTTGTAATGAAGTGTCAGCAGTGATGCTACGGATGAGCTATTGCATTTCAAAAGAGGCTGTGTAATTAGCAGGTTTCCCATCCAGTGGGTGTATTGACAGCAGTGGGCACAAGAAAGTGTTTGCAGATGTCATGGTAGTTTTAGAAAGGTCTCCCAAGTTGCTAGCCTGGGGGATGTCCTGGTGCTGGCATGTCCCAGGCAGGTCACTGCTCACCAGTCTCTTGGGGCTGCGGCATCCTGAAGCCCTTGCTCCCCTGGGTGCGTTACAGTGCTAACAAATGCTGGTTTGTTTTCCATCATTTTTTTGGTCTGATTGTGTAAAGTTCCCTTTCGGATTAACTGCTGAAAACAAAACAGAAATCGCACTAATACCTCACTGTGAGCATTAAACAACAACAACAAAAAATCCTTATTTCCCTGCAGATTTAAAAGTCTTTTGTGTTTGGTGGGAACTCTGTCTAAACTCAGGACTTTTCAGAAGTGTTTGTTTCTTAATGATCGGGGATTGCAAGGCTTTTGACCTAAGATTACTATCAGTGCTCGATGCTGGCTGCCTTCGGCTGCTTTCGAGGGAACAGTAGCGGCAAAAGCAAAGGCAGTGGGTAGGAAGCCCGGGCTGTACTGTGCGGTGGTTCTGGCAGCCATCCCACTTCCAATGACGGATGAGACTGGGGACCAAGAGAGACCCTGAACTTCTATTCAACGTCCCAGTCTGCCACTCCGCCCCTCGCCTTTCCTATGAACAGATGGGAAAATATCCCTTCCCCATAGAGAGAGAGAAATTATTATTTTTTCTTATTACCTTTGTGTTTACATAGCTGTTTCTTACTCAGTGCTAGTCATTTGGGGGCGTAATTTATAGGGGCCATGTATGATCCACTTCTACATGTGTCTTAAATTTTTCCCACAAACACTTTAACTCCCTCTGTCCTCGCTGCTTTTTATGTGTTTGTCTTGCTGTCTTACCTACCGCGAAAGCATGAAAAAATTCCGGTGAAAAACAGGTAACGGAGGCTGGGTTGAAGGTGCTGGCAGACCCCCTGAGTTCTGCACCCATCTTTGTGCAATCCCTGTGCCCCCATTCTCCTGGGGGCAGAGGGGGAGAGTGCTTGGCTCAAAGCAGAACTGCTGGGAGAAAAATTGTTTATGAAATATCTTGAGCTGCTCACATGCAAGCCTCCTTTTAAGAGGTAAAGCAAGGCAGGCACATGGAGAAAAAAGGCATTTCTTGGGACGTGTATTTCCTAGTCCTGGGTACGACGCTATATCCTGAAATTCTGCATTGTCTTCAAGCTGCTGAATACAATTTGATGAACAGCTGGAAAAAGGAGGTTGATAAAAGATACTCTTCATGCGTTGATAGACTGGCCTGTCTGTAGCATTCTCCGTGCATGATTTACTGCCTGCATTGTTATCTGTATGTTTAGACAAATGCTACTTCGCCCTGATCCTGGGATCAAATGAAGCTGCCAGCCCAGTGCTTCTTTGAAACTTGCACATATAAAATAACCAGGCCACCTCCTGTGTCGGCTGCGGGCCCTGGGGCTTTTGCTCTCCATAGATCATGTTAAACTGCTCTTCAGTTCTGCTCAAATTAAATGTTTTCCTATCAGATGTGGGCTGCAGAGGATCCAGCCTGTCAGCCTGCATGTGCGTCAGGAGGAGAGGAGGCAGCTTGTGCTCCGAGCTGGGTATGCGTGCCAGCCATATGCTGCTTTGCCCTCACATAAAATGCTCAGCTCACAGTCGGTTGGACGGCTTAGCCCGGGAAATTGTGAAGAGCAACGATGCCAGTGCTGGGGTGACCAGGGCGGTAAGAGGAAGAAAACGGGAAGAAGCGAAGGGGCCGGGACGTGAGGTTGGGCTGGCCCGAGTCCCTCACCCCGGGGCTTTGGCTGCGGAGCTCCTCGGGGGAACAAAGAGCAGCTCTTCGCTGGCAGCCGCCTCGCCAGAAAACCCCGCAGAGAGGATTTCCTTCCGCTTCGGCTCCAAAGATTTTGCTGTTGTGTTTTGCGGCCGGGAAGAACAAAAGCTCGGGGTTGCAAGCTGGCTCCTGCCAGGGTCTCCCCTGCCCCCCTGCCGGCTGCTGGGCGATGCAGGCGGCCTCAAGCCGGACCGTGCTGTGCCAGGCTCCTGCCACGGAGCCACGGTAAGGAGAGGGTGGAGGTGACAAGCAGGACTTCTGATTTGATTTGTTTATTTTTCACTCGCACTAAGGCATATTGCTGGAACGTGACTGGCATGCGGAGCATCTGCAGCAGGCGCTGCTGGGCCAAGTGCTGGGGGAAACTGGTCCTAAGGTTGGTTTTAACTGGGCTTTCTCCCATCGTAGGCAGCGTGGGGGCAGAGGGGAACGATAACACAGCAGCGTGGCTTCCCACCAGTCCCTGTGTGCCTGCAGCCCCGGTGCCCTACGCTGTCAGTCTCAGCCGTTCACATCAATCTTGTTTATTGCAATTCCAAATCCTCCCTCCTCAGCTCATTAATGTTCTTAGAGCAGACGTCTCTCTCACCATTGTATTTTGTAATTAGATTTTGATTGGCTTTCAGAGAGAAACAGCAGCACAATAGACATTAATTTATCCCAAGCCTCGCTCGCTCTCCTCTGTGTCGCAAGGTCAGACCTCGGTGTGCACCATCTGCCCTCGACGCCTTCCCCACTATTGGGCTGCGTGCCGTTCCCGCACTGCATCCCCTTCCATTTAAGGGGGTTCCCTTCTGCACAAAGGGAGAGGAGCGGCAAGGGAGGGCTGGAAGAGGAGCCTTTGCTCGAGCTGAGCTTGAATCGCAGGGACAGGCGTGACCTGGATTTAAATCGACAGGGCGAGGGAGCAGCCTGTTCTGCAGCCCCGTGCCTGCTGTCTGCAGAGCCTGGGTGGCCCCCGGTGCATGTAAACCCTTTAAGGCACGATGTAAAAACCGCAATTTAACATTGCGAGCGAGCGAGGACAGAGAGGTCCCCCGCAGCGCCAGACTGTGGGAGCAGAGCGGTGGGGATGGCCGTGGCTGTCTCGCCAGCCTGGAGCCGGTCTGCGCGGCGGAGCTGGAGGCAGAGCTGGGAAATGGGCTCTGCAGGTCACCGCAGCCCTGGACCAAGGGCGCTTTGCCACCCGAGCACTACTTGTGAGTTCCTCAGACAGACCTTATGTTTCAGCCTATGGCTCTGGAACCAGAGACCATCAAAAGCCGAGCTTGCGTCTGTAATGGAGACCCCGCTGCGCTCTTGGTGTGAGCACCCATGGGGCTGCTGAAAAGCGGGGTCTTGGCAACGCCTCACTGGAGGAATTGCCCAGACCCTGAGGATATTGCCTCTTAGGCTGGATTTTTAGAAGAAAAGTGGCTTTGCGTTTCGTTTAGCAGAAAGCAGCAGCTGTCCACGTTGGGAACATGTTCATTATTGCTGAGGGATCCGCTTTTGAGTTCTTAAATGAGCTTTTATCTGGATGTCGCTGGTCAGGGTGGAAGCATGGGTTGGAATATGAGCAGAGGAAGTTTCTGCACTGCTGCTGGCACGGGCAGGTGCCTTTGAAACCTCCGCATCTCCCGAGTGGAGGCAGCTCTGTATCCTGTGGGGGATGGATGCACAGGACCTTTTATGGTCCAGGTTCTCACAACAATAGAAAACCGCAGCCCCCAGCGAGGGCGGGAGGACCGTTTTCCCACCGGCCAGGGCTCCTTTCACTGCAAGCAGTTGTGCTTTATCTTTGCCAGCGTTAACTGCTGCAGTTCGGGATTTATGTTAGTAAGTGAATGTGACCAAGGGCTGATAAATCAATCAGCAGAACCAAAAATAGCACCCGGCAGCTGTTGGGAGCAGGGGATCCCTTCCCCACCAGTACGCACAGAGCAGGAGGGGATTTTGTCCGCCCCGGCCGAGTGCCAGCCCTGCGCAGAAACAGCCGTGGGCTGCTGGGGAGACCTCTCGTCTGACACCTTTATCTGGAAAAATTACTGTGGCTGTCTGCAAACTTTTCTCCAACGTGCCTCTCAGCCAGCCATTTCCCAGTCACTAAGGTGGGAGAAATAACCGAGCCAGCCGCCGGTTGGGACCGATGCTGTGCGCTGCTGCGTGGCCTGTCGTCTCGGGGTCGCCTCAGACCTCAAATGATAAGTGATCGTTTTAAAATCTCTCATGGCCGGTCGTGGATGGAGTTGCAGAGGGAGCCAAGGGCTGCGGTTTCCAGGTCCTCCAGTACTGTGTGGTGATGCTTTGTGTAGGGATAAGGTTACCAGAGGAATCTGGTGAGTCTGGTTTTTCCGCTGGACTGCTGCACTTAAACCACCTGCACAGGAGCCAGAGAGGTTTCTGTAAAGCTGATCAGCCTGTACGGCGTCTTGCGAGGGGGTGTATTTCCTCGCTCCTTCTTCAGCGGCCGTTGTGGAGTAAGTATTGAGTTTAGCAGGCGTGCAGCCTGAACCAGGAGTGAAGGGCTCTCCGAGAGGATCAGCTGCTTTCGGGCTGAATAGTCCGTAGATTATTTCCACATCTGTGTTAGCTTTGGCTTGATCCCACAGATTTGCAACAGCTGTTGGGAAGCGGAGCAGAGATCCCCTCTTTAAATGGATGATCAAATCCTCAGAGTGTGGAGTATGTTATTTCTATGTCATCCTCTTCACGGCAGGAAAAACAGCTTTTAAAAGTTGCTGAGGCAGCACTCTGCCTTGCTGCCTGAGCTATCATCCCATCGTCCTGTGGTTTCAGAGCAAGTCATAATTTGCTTTCCACATCCCACGCCCAGCCCAACACAGGATCCTTTGCGGGGTGCGCGGTTGTGCAGGTACTTGTACAAGGGATGCCTTTTTTTCTCCTAGGCTCCCCTCCCTGCCTGGACCACAACCAGTGGGCGTACGCTGAGCGGGACCGAGGAGGAGCTCGTCTCCTTTCCAGATCCTGTGTGTGTGCAAACCCTTGGCATCTTACCCTGAGAAGAAAGGCTTTAGGTGGAGATTGGGTGTCTTTGCTCAAAGCTGCAGTTCAGCTGCAAAATAGTGGTGTGGTGTGGGAATCCCATAGTGAGCTATCTTATCCAAAAAGCCCAGCCAAAATGAGCCAGTCCTGTCTCCTCTCATGGTTCTGCTCTTTCAGGCCAGACCTGCAGTGTGCTTCAGCTTTGGAAAGCTGAGTCTGGCTGAAGAGTGCCGGAGCAGTGGGAATGGTGGTAGATCCTGGCACGCGTCCTGCAGCGCATGCGTTTCTCATTCCCCCTCAGCGTTCCTAGCGCACAGGAGAATCATCAAACCAAACTGCTCCTGCTTTAAACGGCACATTCGTGTACTTTCAGATACAGACAGCAAAATTAATATGGTTAGTGTGTGGAGACCGCTAATTTGCAATTCAAGACTTTCATAACTGGGCTTAAAATGGCAATCCAATTCCAGTCGTCTTACATACAATTGTCATATGTGTTCATTGGTGTTGAATGACGGATTTCAGTGATAAGCCGGGCAGCAAATACGCTGCACATAGTAAGCACTGCTCAGCATGCATGAAGCTCCGAAGGGATTGGTGTGACCTGTGATGGCTGGGTGGTGGTGCCTGGGAGCTGCGTGATGCTTGCAGCTTTTGCAAAGATGCAGGGTAAAACCCGGCAGTTTTGGTTGCTTTTTCTTATTCACCCAAAGTGTGACTGAGCGTGACATGATGTTCGTTGGGTTCAAATCTCAGAGTTCGTTGATGGATGTGCTTCCCCAGCAGCAGCAGATGTCACGTTGACCTTTTTTGATGCTTTTTGACCCTTTCGACACACGCCTAGCTTCAAGCTTGCATGAGGCATTCTCCTGTGGACCCTCAATGATGAGTTAGAAGTGGCAACGCTCCGTTTCATGGGGACAGAGTATCTGGATTCCAGGTTACCCGTACTGCAGATGTCTGAGCAGCCAAGACCAGTCTCTGCAAAGGTGGTTAGGGCCCAGTGGGGACTGATGGCATATGCATCCTGAGAAGATCCAGGGCCACTGTTGGTGAGAGCTGCCAGGTCTGCTGGACCCCGTAGACTGCCTGGAGCCAGCCATGCACCGCTCACTCCAGTGCTTCCAGCAGGAGCGGGTTTGGTTTGGTTTGATCTTATCCCCTTATCTAGCGTGTCACAGCCCTGTCCCTCTGAGCTTGGCCACTCCATGCAGCCTCTGGCTCTGAAGTGCAGACCCTGCCGCTTCCCCAGCCAAACAAAACTGCTGCCACCCGCCGTAGGGCCCCAGGGGAGCTGCTGGCCGTATACAAAGGACTTCGCAAAATGAAGTGAAATGTAAGCAACTGTTTAAAGAGAACAATCCAATTGCTAGTTGTAATTTCCTCATTGTTTGCAACACCCTCTTAAATGCCTGTGATCCTTATAAAGACCTTTTCCCCACTCTTTAAACTTCACAGAAGTGGGTTTTACCTTCTGTGGTTTGAAGGCCCTCATTGTGAGGGGGCTGGTTTGCATTTAGTATGATTTTTCTTTTTCTTTTTCATGCCCAAGGCCATTTGGTGTGTGAATTGGCATTGTGAATGAGTCCGCTTGTCCCAAAAAATAGGTCTATTGGAAGTTGAAGGCTGATGGGCAGGACACAAAGTGTTGCCTTTCTCTGGGTCCTAGTAGAAGATGGAGGTTAATAAAGTCTTCCTAGATCAGTATTAATGCTTTCCTTCAGACCCAAGAGGGTTTTGCTAACACCCCCTTGCAAGTAGGCTGGCTCGTGTCACTCATCCAGGTACACGTTTTATAAAAACATGTTGGAAGAAATATTTAATACAGTGCCATTAAAACCTGAACGTGGATGTGACTTTTCCCTCAGCTAGATCTCTGGTGAGCAAACCAAGGGATGCGGTTTGCTCTGCCTGCACATTGCATCCCATTCCTGCCCTCGTTTTCCTGGTTCCCCAGATCATTCCCATCTCGGGAAATGGAATTGCCTCTATTCAAAAATTGTGGATGTGGCCCCATTTCTCTGGAAAAGCATGTGGGTCCAGTTTCCACATCAGATACTGATAGAAGCAGCAGCACGTTGTGTGAGGGTTTCTCCAGGTCTTGTGTTCAAACCCTCCCACTGGTGCTGGGTGGGATTCTCGGTGGTCCTTTCCTGTCATTCTCCCTTGGCTGGGTTTTATTCTCCAAACCCATGCGAGTTGTAAACACCCGGAGCCCGGGGGGCTTTGCAGAGCAGCACTTGATGTCAGGGGAAAGGTGGTGATTCATTTCCTTCCCCTCTGGCTCTCAGCTATAGTTTGGCTTTTGTTTAAGTTTGATAATTCACTGCTGGGCTGTTTAGGTTGAAACGCGTGGAGAAATGCAAAATGTAAGTAAATGTGGCAATTTCACAGCAGCTCCTCGGTGCAAGGTGGGGAGACCGGCTCCTACCCTCCGCCCTGGTGCTGTGCCCAGGCTGCTCCCCCGCCAGCCGCTGTCCTCGTCTCGTTCCTCCTTGTCCCTGTGAGCTTCTGTAGGTGGGTGAAGCTCCAAATTATCCTATGCCAGAAGTATATGATGAGAAATGTCAGCCCGCTGCTGTGTGACACCCAGAACACTTGGTCACTGGTGTAGTGCAGAGCCGAGCTTGATGCAAAACATAATGACCAGCAGATAGCAATATTTAGACCGGGATGCCCAAAATGTGGCCATCGCAGCCTGCGTGGCTTCTGTCTATAGCCGGCGGGGACTGCTGGCGAGGCTGGCAGTGCGGGATAGATGAGCTGGGCTACGCAGCCACCAGGCTGATGTCAAACCCATTAATCAGTTCCTGGGAACAAACCCGGGAAGCCCCAGTTACAGAAGAATTGTGTTTCTGTGTGTTGGCCTTGTTTTCAGCGTGGCTGTGTCTTGGCAGGGCTTGCTGGTTTGTTTAATGAACATTGAAATGGGAGGGGAGGAAGCAGCCAGGGAAGTATTACAAATTGCTTCAGAGCAGTGGCATTAAAAGTATTTGTGCTTACCGTGTCTTCTAAACAAAGACCTCAAAGTATGGTAACTATCATCCCCATTTTACTTGCAAAGAGGCAAATGCAGCAGGAGGAGTAGCTTTACCCGCGCTCACGGGCAAGCCTGCAACAGGCATGAGACAAACGCTGGTCTGACCCACGGTACTGAGGGGATGGTGTTGACAGATCGTGTCTCTGCGGGTGCTGGACGTCCAGGTTGGCCCAGCAGCTCTGGAGAGATGCCCTCACATGCCTTCATAGGCGTTACTGAAGCACCAACTCTGTTTTTGTGCTTAGCTCTGGCCTCTGCTCTGAACGCTGCTGACACCCCCAAATCTGCTTCTTCACGCTGCTTAGTTTACCTTTCTTCTCTCCCCACCCAAACTCTTTTACAGCTGAAGCTGTGGAACAAGTACAGAGTCTCTAACATTCCTTCCCTGATATTTATCGATGCCTCCACCGGGAAGGTGGTTTGCAGGAATGGGCTCCTGGTAATCCGAGATGACCCAGAAGGTAAGACCTGGAATCCTGTGTGCCATAGAAACACAGGCATATGGCTGCCTTTGCATTTCAGTTCATTTCTAATTGCCTTGGAGGGAAAAAAAAAAAGGAAACAAACAGCTATTGTCATAGTTAACTAATCAAGGCACTGCATTATTTTCAGCATAAAATTTTCTGCATCATTCCTGCCAGATCTCGTGTTTTGATTTTACTTGTTGAAAAGTACAAAGATTTCCCCTCCAGGATTTTTGTCTGAAGTGCTAATGAGGAAAAAGTTAGTCTAACTGAAACATTAAGTTTGGATTTTTCCCTGATAGAGACACATGGACAGACAGACCCGGAGCCCAGACTTGCCATACCTTGGGAGCAGAATCCTTCCAAAATACTGAGTGGGACTTCATCACTGACATCACACTCTTTTAGGATAAATGAATTCCTCATTATTTACAAATGCAACAGAAAAATGCTACCGTTCTCCGTTTCTGAGGTTTACTGTACTGGGGGTTGATGTTAAATCCGTCTTCTTCCAATTTGCAAAAACCAAAATGAGGAAAAGATGTGCCCTTACTCATAGACTTTTCGCACCCATCAGTCAGCTGCTAGGCTGTCCATGCACACGTATTGCCGATCGTTTATTTCTTCATGCAGCAGATACTGAGCACAGTGACAGAGACTTTAATTCAGGTGGCAGGAACTGTGCAGCAAGTAGACATCGTGGCCTGAGCCATCTGTGATGTTTCCTCCTCTCTGGCTGAATACATAGATTGATTGCTCTGGGAGCTGGCAGCAGATGATTCGGAGCATGTGTTTGTGTGTACACGCACATGCTTGCTTTGGGGTGCAGAGGGTTAGTCTAAGTTTAGTTTATATATAGGTTTTATATATAAATATATGTAAACCATCTTTTACATATATATAAGGTTTTATAAATAAATAAATAAATGTAAAAATACATGGTTAGTACCAGTATAAGGCAAATAGTCTGACTGCATTCCTGAGCACGCACCACCTTGCCCTCTGTTGTTAAAACAAATGCTGTTGAAAAGGAAAAGATGCCTCGTGGGGCACAAAACCCGAGCAGGCTTTGTCAAGCCAAAGGTGCTGCAGCTCAAGCGAGGGTGCAGCCTACCTGTGAGAAAGAGGTGGCCCTGGTTCTGGTGTGGAGCTTGGCTTTCCTGGCTCCCCCATATCTTTTCAGAAGGCGAGACGGTTTTTTTGGTGGAACTTTTTGAAACTCTAAATGCTGCATGAGCATCTTGCTGTTTTGTGTCTTCTTTCCACCATCATCCCAACCCCTGTCCAGGTCTGGAGTTCCCCTGGGGGCCAAAACCCTTCTGTGAAGTTGTTGCTGGGCCTCTGCTAAGGAACAACGGCCAGACGCTAGACAGCGCTGCCCTGGAGGGCTCACACGTTGGGGTCTATTTCTCCGCGCACTGGGTGAGTAGTAGGTGTTTTGCAGAGCAGTTAGAGCGAGTTCAGGAGGTGCTCTGGGGATGCCCCTGCAGCTCTTGCTGCAGAGCTCTGTGGAAATGTAAAGACCTCTGGCTGGTTGGTGTTGAACCAGTTAAGATGCTCTGGCTATTCTGGAAGAAGTCGCAGTGTTGCAGTGGCCTGTCATCCTCAGCTGGCCCTTCGGAAGGGGAAGAGTGGTCAGATTTTAAAAATGGAAGAGTTTTTTTTGGCAACTTATGGGCCATAAGTCCCAGCCACGTTCAGGGCTGCTGCCCAGCCCTCCAGCAAAGATGAGGTCACGTCTGTCTTTTCATGGCCACTGGGTCATCTGGACATGCTGGGTATGGGTCTAACCCTGTGGAGGAGATCATGTCCTTATGCATGTGTTGTGTTTTGCAGTGCCCGCCGTGCCGAAGCCTCACAAGGGTCCTGGTGGAGTCCTACCGGAAAATCAAGGAGGCAGGCCAGAAGTTTGAGATACTCTTCGTTAGTGCAGACAGGTAAGGAAGCATTAACACCCTGTGCAGGCAGAGCTGGCCGCCCCCAAGCTGGGAAGCTATGAGCATTGCTGGTTTGATTTGAGGAGGAAATTTGATTTGGGGTCAAGCAGGTTGGCTCTGGTATCAGAAAGGCTGCCAGAGTCCGTTGCCGTCTGCCCAGCAGTGGAGGGCAAAGGGGAGTTAGCGAGGGAGCGGTGGGCTGAGAGCAGGCTCTGTCCGTGGAGCAGCTCTGTATTTTGCTTTGTGGCTCGTGGGTCTGAGGTCTGAAAAATGCTCAAGCTGCTGCTGCTGTCACTGTGGGTTGATGTTCAGATGCCCTAGAGAGTTTGAAATATTTTATCAAGAAAAAATGCACCATGCACCGCTTCTTGAGGGACTGGGCGATTTAAATTTGGTCTAGCTCTCACCAGGTCATGTCTGCCAGAAGCCCTTACTGGTGGGCTTTGGTGGAAGGGATAAAGGGCTTTGCAGGCCTGGTTTGTAATGCAGAGCAGAAGAAAGAGGCTTGCAGGCAGAGGAGCTGCACCCTGGATCCCATGCCATGTTCCCTTCGCACAGGTCAGAGGACTCCTTCAAGCAGTATTTCAGTGAGATGCCCTGGGTAGCTGTGCCGTACGCCGACGAGGCCAGACGGTCGCGCCTGAATCGACTCTATGGCATACAAGGTAGGAAGGCAGCACTGATGCACAGCTCTCCCTTCTGCTCCTTTTTCAGAATATTTGTAATGTCTCCTCTTGTTTAACTAAAACAAGAAAATGGCAAAGCAAAGCACAGTGCCCCAGGCAGAGCTGCTTCATGTTTCTGCTCTCTACAAACTCACATTCCTACCACCTGCCAGGCAGGCTGTTAGTTGAAACAGGACTTCCATAAACAACCTAATTCTTCCTGGAAACTTGGAAGCTGTTTTTGGCTTGGATGTTTTTTGCCTAATTACTGATTTATTTATTTTGCTTTTTCTTGAAGGTTTAAATTTCATTTTCTTGCTGGTTTATGTAACGCAAAGGCAGGCTATCCTTCTCTGTAGAGACTGAGGAAGATGGCATCTGGTTTATGTTAGTGACATGAATTACAGAAGAGCGTGTGTTTGATGTAAACCATGGTTCTGCCTTTACTGTACGTGCCAGTGCCAGAATTCCAGCAGCCCCGGCTGCTTGGAGGGGCAGGGGAGAAGGTCTGTCTGTCTGGGTGGCTTCAAAGCGTCTCGAAGACCATAAAAGCTCACAGCAGCCCTCCTGGGGACTGGCACCTTCTTTCTGCAAGGGACAAACTGCAGCACAGAGACGTGCAAGGTGAATAGCTCGCAAGGAGGTCTTCTGTACGTACATACAGTTTCTCTCTGTAGTTAAAGGGTCTTGCTGCAACGTGCCTGTTTCCTGCCATTTCCATGCAGCATCGGTGAGGTGGGCACAGGCTGGCAGAGGGTTAATACAGTCTGCAGGGGAAAAAGAGTGTTGCCAAAGGTTGCCAAGGGCCCGGGGAGAGTGACAGGAGAAACAATCCCTCCTTGGGGTCCTCTCCGAACACCCCTTCTGGGTTGAGCTCAGGTGCTGTCTCTCAGCTCTGTTCCCTGACCTTAAACCAAGAATAGCGATTTGCCTGCTTTAAATAGCCATCAGTTTGCTGCTTAATTACCTTCCCATGAGGCAAGAGCTTTCCAAAGTCATCTGTCTTTTCCCCGGCCCGCTCACAAACTTCTCCAGTGCCAGTTTCGGCTGAGCACTGCAGGACGGCTGCCAGTTTCACTGGGACTTTCTGTAAATAAGGTGTCCAGACATGGATACTTGAGCACCAGGCATGCTGTAGCCAGAGAAACAGTGACAACAGCTTTCCCTCTGACTCCAGACACTGGCTCCTTAAATGTCTCTCTTCGTTGTGCGCTGACCTGAAAATGTAAATATTTGCTGTTCCCCTGCACCCTGACCCCTTCCTCTGCCAGGGTAGCTCCCGTATTACCCCGCATTTCAGCTGCTCTCCCAGGGACGGTGACCCTGGAATTTAGGCACGTTTGAGTACAGACCCTTCTGCTTATCTGTCACGGTTTTCCTGTAAAGTGGGAACCTCTCCACGAGGAGGAACTGTGATCCTGCGAAGTTGTGTTGAAATGTGGAGACAGGCTAATTTGCACCCTACGTGGGAAGCATCACCGTCCCTCCTCCCTTCCCACCCGGGTACCACACAGCCTTTGCAAGGCTGGACTGGGCTCTGTGTACCCACTGCCATCCCAGGTGGAACACGGTGCTGTGGGAAGGGTGCCGGGGCACCAGGGAGACACAAGAGGGGGCTGGAGGGAAACCCTCGTGCTGCTCCCCAGGGACCTTGTTGTCCTTGCCCCCTGCACAAGCAGCAACTTGGGATCCTTCCTGCCGACTTTGGGGTTGCCCGCCTGTTTGCAGTCAGGCGTTCGCAGCAGGCTGCCACACTGGCTGTAGCAAAATCTTTTTGCAAACAGAGCTCAGCTTATCGCCTCTGGTGGTTATTCCACCTAAATGAAAAATTGGGTCCATGTAATCTGACCTGCCTTTTCCCAGGTGCACGGCTCTGATGCTGCCAAGCGTCTTCGAAGCCCACTTCGGAGCTGCACCTACGCACCAGCGAGAGCGTGTAGTCCATTCAGTGTCCGGGTTACCGTGCCCTGGGTTATGAGCACAGCATGCACATGGGGTGGTTTTTCCACTGGTGTTTGTAAGGCTGGGAGCTGAAACAACGGAAGAGCTTGTCTTCCCCAGCTGCTCTAAGTTCCTGAGTAGTAGAAAGCAGCAAGAGAGTCAAATCTCTTTGTTGTTTTAGTCCTGTGTTGGCCCCTACAGCATTCAAAAACTCAGTGTAAAATGTAAGTTGAGTTATTGGCCTTTATTTGGGTTTACTTGAATGCCTCCATTCATAACCCATGCGCAGTCAGGGGGCTGTACCATACCCACCTATATTAAATTGCTTCTGGGTGCAGCACTATCTTGAGAGAGTCATGCCTTGTGTCGTGGCTGCTTAGAAATAATTCTCCGTTGTGTGTGCAGCTCCCAGTCTGCGGGGTCCTGCCTTAGCTGAAATCGCCTGACGTTAGCTCTCCTTCCCATGGGATGGGAAGGGGTGATAAATGTTATGCTCAGATGGGAATTGCCCCCCGTTGTTTTACATCTTATGAGAGATTTTAGGTTTCTGAATATTCCCTGTGGACTCCGTGGTGTCTCTTCGGGATTTGCAGTCCCTTGGGGGAACTTCCAAAAGCTGTTGTTTCCCCTCTGCCCTATGCTTTAGCCCAGACACCCACAGGTCACTCTTGCAGCCCGGCTGGTGGGAGCAGCCTGGGAGTCACTGTTATGGGAGCTTTCTTGTACTAGGTTTCTGGAGCTTTCTTCTGAAAAGGTGAAAAAACAGTAAAAACCTCACCACCTGTCCCATGGTTGGTGTATTCTGAGTGTTTGCTTCACAGTGATTTTGATTACTCACCCCACAGACTTAATGCAGATGAGATTTCCATCTCAGATATGGGTTTTAATATATAAGGAAGTAAGTGTGTTGTCAGGTTTGGTAACAAATCATTTGGCCCCTGTGTTTTCATAAAATGCTGGGCCCGTGGGGACTGAATCCATTTTCTAATGCATAAAATCAAACTGAGCCCGTCTATGCTAATTCTTATCCAAGCTTATACAATATTCATTGCGGAGTGTCTGATCTGTGATTCTTCTTGTTAAGTAAATTCTGGTGCTATGACTCATGGCAATTACCAAAGCCCCCAAAAGGCACTAAAATAACAAATAGTGACTGGGATGAGTAGGGAGAGAGGAACTGTGGAGGAAATATTGCGGTTAGTGGGTGTGAATAAGGTTAAGGGCAGTTTCCCTGGTCCTGCTGGTCTGTGTCCCGTGCAAAGAGCACGTGTTTGCTAGGGGAGCAGTAACAGGGTTTGCCTGGAAAGACAAGGCTGATACTGTGGGATGCCACCGAGAGCCTGGTAAGGCTGTGTCCTAACCCCAGGGACCCACCAGGGATGCGCAGGAAGGAGCTGAGGAGACAGGGCAGCGATGCTCGGCACTGGGAGCAGATGGGTCGTGGCAGCCTCAGCCTTCACCAGGCAGGTCCGGAAAGGAAACCAGAGCTTTGTGGCTGGTGAGAAACCTCTGATGCCGGGTAAAAGGTGCAGGGATTGACCCAGCGCGTGTCACGCACCTCCTAACAGACTGCAAACCCGGCCCCGAGTTTTCTGATGTGTTACTTGTATTTTCCAAACGTGCCAAACCCAGGATTAATTATCTTAAAGACTCTTTGTTTTCTGAGCCGGTTTTGTATTTGCAGTTAGAGGTTTTAGTGGCTGGGTGCTTTGGTGTGTGTGTCTGCATACGCAAATCAGGTAAAGTCAAAATGCTTTGAATAGTGGATGAAGTCCCTGATAGCTGTGGGATCACTGTAACAACAATCTGTGTCTAAATCGGGCCCTGAATTTTTCCAGATCAGCAAAACTCATTTGAAATCTCTGCCTTGGTATGCTGCATTGTTCAGGCTGGCTGGTGACGGGGTACCGAGCTGAAGCCAGGTTTCTAGCCCATCCTTCATGTATAGTGCAGGTCTGGAGAGGACAGAAAAGCAGGCGTTTGGGACAGGGCTGGGAATTATAAATGGATAAAGATCCAAATCGTGTGAGAGATGCTGATCACCGTGTGCTTCTCCTGGCTTCAGTAGTAGTTTGTGCCTTGCAGGGTAGGGCCAGAGTGAGATTTCCCAATTCCATCCAGTCTGTTTAACCCAGCCCTGCCCTAGAGCTATTTTGAATACCAGCAGGTAATGAATAAGCCTTTTTGTGATACAAAATGGTTTTCTTGGCGTACCCTTAGGAATTGCAAGCCCAGCCATCAGGGCGTTCCTGCGCTACTGCTCTTGCACCAGCCCGGTGCTTGCAGCCCCTGCGCACAGGCAGGGATGAGCGCAGCGGT